TTGGTTTAACTCATTTCTATTAATCTGTGTGTCACCACGAGGTCATGGCTTACCAGGAAAGATTCAGCATGTCTGACCTGGTAGCTCCATGGTGGCTCTCTCTCTCCCCTTCTTCCCAGCATCCAGTTCTGTCTACTCCGCCTACCTAATTGCTGCCCTCTCAAAAGGCCAAGGCAGTCTATTTATTCAACCAATGAAAGCAATACAAATACAGAAGAACCTCCTACACCAGGGAGAGGTTGAAGAGATGGCTCAGTGGGTAAGAGTACTTAGTGCACTTGCAGAGGTCCCCAGATGGGTTCCCACAGCAGGAAGCTCATAACCAACTGTAACTCCAGCTCTAGGGGATCCAACACCTCTGGCCTCAAAGCTCCAGGGAATCTTATGCCTCACTGAACCCATATATACACACATGCATGCACCCACACATAGGTTTTAAGTGATAATTTGGGGGCTGGAGAGATGGCTTAGCAGTTAAGAGCACATAACGGTTTTTCAGAGAACTGGAATTTGGCTCCTTGTACCCATGTCAGGCAGCTTACAACTGCCTGTAACTCCAACACTTCTGATCTCCCTAGGCACCTGCACTCACTGCACTCGAGAACACAGAGAGAGAGGGGGTGGGGGGAGTAACCTCAGGACCAGGGACCCACAAGTTGTCCTCTGACCTCCACACACATGCCATGGCACAGGTATCTACACACATACACATGAACACATACTATATAAAACTGAAAAACAAATCGGAAACTTCTTTTGAGCCAGACCTGGTATAAGCCTGCTCCTGAAGCAGGAGGAGCGCATATTCAAGGCCTGCAAATTCAAGTCCACTTCAGCAATTTAGTGAAACTTAATCTCAAAATAAAAAGTGGAGGTGGGAGGTAAGGTACTGTGGGGATATAGCTCAGCAGAGAGCATTTGTCTAGCAATTGCGATGTCCTGCTAGGTTCAAACCCCAGGGATCCTCTCCTGCCCCCCCTAAAAAAATCAGCATAAAAATCTTTAAAAGCCTGTTATGATGGCACAGGCCTATGATTCCAGCACTAGAGAGACTGAGACAAAAAGACTGTGAGCCCGGGGATAACTTAGGCAACATGGCAAGAATTTGCTTAACAAAAATAAATACAATCTTTAGAAATATAAAATTCACTGGGGCAGTGGTGGTACAAGCCTTTGATCGCAGAGGCAGGCAGAAATCTGAGTTCAAGGCCAGCCTGGTCTACATCACTAGTTCTAGGACAGCAGAGCTACACAACAAAACAAAACAACAAAAATAAAAAAGGAGAAATATAAAACTTTAACATGAACATCAACTGGCTTTCTCATCGATTCCCATGGGGAGGCTATGGACAACAGCACTTAGTTTCACTTTTCAAAAAAGAAAAAAAAAAGCCTTAATCCCAGCACTCGGGAGACAGAGGGAGGCGAATCTCGGTGAGTTCGAGACCATCCTGGTCCTCATAGTACTAAGCCACCCAGGACTATGTAAAGAGACCCTGCCTTTAAAAAAATAAAGTAAAATTTAAAAATAGCCAATCCAAAAACATGGTTCCTGAGGGTTCCTGAAGTCTGGATCCCGCCCCTTCAGGTCCGCTAAAGAACTGCAATTTCCAGGGGACTAACTAGCACGCTCGCACAGGGCTCTCTGAGGACTCCATTTCCCAGCTAGCCCATCGCCGGGCGGACTGTGCACCTCAGCGCCCCCTAGCGGCGCACCGCCGCACGCTGCCGTTCCCGGCGGCCCTCGCGGCAGGCTGCGGGCGTCAGGGTAGTTGGTGATGGCGGCGGCAGGTTCCGCTGCCATGTCAGGGGCAGGGACCCCGGTGGCGGGGCCCACGGGCCGCGACCTCTTTGCCGAGGGGCTCCTGGAGTTCCTGCGACCCGCTGTGCAGCAGCTCGACTCTCACGTGCACGCGGTCAGGTGCTGGACCGGGAGGGCTGGGGGCGGGGCCTGTGGAACTGGCTTTGTAGGGGCGGGGCCGCGAGAGGTAAAGACCCGGTAAGTTCTTGAGACTCTTCTGGGTCAAAGAGGCGGAGGTGAGGCCTTTGAGATTGGCTTGTCTCAGTACTAGAGGAATAAGTAGAATTAGTTTCCCGCGTCCCATTCACTGACCGTGTAGGCCTTTGTACCTCTTTGCAGAGAAAGCCAGGTAGAGCTCCGGGAACAAATTGACAACCTAGCTACAGGTGAGTGAGCACCCGGAATACCTAGAACCCTTGAACTCACTTTTATGAGCTTTGGTTTCCTCAATATCAGAACTACTCACGGACTCTAATTTCTGGGTATATCTTAGGACAGAATGAAAGGGAGTGAAGGGTAGGTATCTGTGGTCACACAAGACTGCAAGAGTGTTTTTCATCTTGTTCCTCTTTTATATTCCCTAAGAACAAAAAATGAGCCATTAGATGTTGGTTGCCCATTTGCTCTTCTCAGAACTATGCCGGATCAATGAGGATCAGAAGGTGGCCTTGGATCTGGACCCCTATGTTAAGAAGCTGCTTAATGCCAGGCGACGAGTTGTCTTGGTGAACAATATTTTACAGAATGCCCAGGTAATTAATTAAAAAAGAAAGTTTTCTTAGCAGAGCATGTTGACACATACTGAAATTTCAGCATTTGGTGGGCATAGGCAAGAAAAATGGTTGGGACTTGGAGCATAGCCTGGACTACACAGGGACTCTTAGATCAGCCAGGGCTACATAGCAGGACCCTGGATCAAAAAAGCAAAACAGGCCAGGCGGTGGAGGCGCCCGCCTTTAATCCCAGCACTCAGGAGGCAGAGGCAGGCGGATCTCTGTGAGTTCAAGACCACCCTGGTCTACAAGAGTTAGTTCCAGGACAGGCTCTAAAACTACAGAGAAACCCTGTCTCAAAAAACCAACAAAAAAACCCCAAAAGTTTTAACAGTTCTTTATCCTACTTTATGTCTTCAACACAGTGAAAGCCACCAAACATTTTAACCACCAGAAAAGGGCAGTGTTAACCCCTCCCCCACACTAGACCTCAGCCTCAGGTCCTCTAAAATACTAGACAAGTATTCTTAATATCTAGTGGATGTCATTTACAAGCTTATATATACTTAAAGGATTTGCCTGAACCAGCCCTGTGGTGGTGGCACACACCTTTAATCCCAGCACTTGGGAGGCAGAGGCAGGCATATCTGAGTTCGAGGCCAACCTGGTCTATAGAGTGAGTTCCAGGACAGCCAGGACCACACAGAGAAACCCTGTCTTGAAAAAAAACAAAAATAAAATAGGATAAAGAGTCCAAGCCTAAGGTACCGCTCAGTGTCTTCTTAACTCAGGTAAACTTTTTACAGTGGTGATTAGATTCCGTCTTCCTGTCTTGTAGGAACGGCTAAGGCGGCTAAACCACAGTGTTGCCAAGGAGACAGCTCGAAGGAGAGCAATGCTGGATTCAGGAGTTTACCCTCCTGGTTCTCCAAGCAAATAAGTTGGGCCTGTGACCTGAGTGTACAAGTACTGTTCTCCAGCTGCTTTTTTTGGTAGCCATGAGAAGATCCCAGAAGTTTTTGTCAACCTTAGGTTTGTTTGAACTGTGTACTCGTTCATGTAGTGGCCTCAAGAAACATGCATACTGCAGACTTTCCTAAAGAGATTCCGTTACAGCTTGTGCTTCCAAGAATAAGCTTCTCACTGTATAGCCCAGGCTGGCTGAATGCTGAGATTACAGGCATGTACCAGGGTGCCTGGCTCCCGTCTACACATTTCCCCACAGAGAATGTTAAGGTTAGGCATCATGTGGTAGAAAGTTCCAAACACACCAGAGTTAATGCAGGAATATTTCCACTCCTCCCCCTCTGCTTTACCACAGTTCCTCTCATGGTCATGACTCTTCCAGACTCTTCTTTACATATTTTTATATATTTTAATGTTTGCTTCTTAGCAAGGGTCACAACTGTTGCCTTCATCAGTGCTGCCCCAGGAGAGCACAACAAATGACATGAAGATCTGAGGTCAAAGGTATAGCACCTTGACAGTTCAGAATCCCTAAGCTTTTATGGTTTTTTTTTTTTTAAGCTATTTTAAGGGCTGGAGGGATGGCTCAGTGATTCAAGAGCACTGACTGTTCTTCCAGATGATGTTCAGTTCCCAGCACCCAAGGGGTGGCTCATAGCAATCTACAGTTCCAGGGGATCCAATGCCCTCTTCTGGCTTTTTGGGGCACAGCACACATACAAGATGCAGACATAGATGCAGACAAAACATCCATTCACATAAAATAAAAACTTAAAGCTTCATAGTTGGAGTTCCATCCTTTCCAGGCCTACTTAACCAATGTTGACCATCCTGTCACTTGCTGTCTTAGAGGGATTCCCTCTACGTGTGATTTCACTTGTTTTCTTTACAACTGAGGACTTAGGCAAAGTCAAGGTAAATAATTTATCCCCTTGACTACCCTGGCTTGAATGTTGATAGTATTGGTCAACATTATTAAATGCTTGTTATCGGTTATTAACAAAAAAGGATTTATCTTGCTTTGTGGTCTCAAAGGGTTCAGGACATGGCCACCGTGACCCATGTTTCTGGGCCTATTGTCAGACATGAGTGTGTGGTAACCAAGCTTCTCCATCTCCTGCTGGCCAAGAGAAGGGAATGCTGGGATTCTGCCTGCTTTGTCTTTTATCCCTTTATTCTGTCCAGGTACCCAGCTCGTAGAATGATTTCATCCACATCTAGGTGATCTTGCTCAGTTAATCCTCCGCAGAAAGCTAGGCATGTCTCACCAATCTCCTAAGCCATACTGACATGAAAATTAGCCATCACAATGTTGGTGTACAAAAGAGTTCTACAATACTCCAGAATGGTAGAGTCCCACATCACAAGGCTTAAATGTATTCCAGTTTACTCTCAAACATTAATTAATATAGGCTGAAATTGCAATCTCAGTATTTATAATAAAAGATTCAACTTCATTTAGAATTAAGTGTATAGAAGGCAGAAATGACTGCTACATGTTGAAAAATAAAACCAAAAGCCCGGCTAGGAAGTAGTTTACTCATTTTTCGTAGAAAAAAAAAAAAATTCCCAGACACTTTACAACATTTCAACAGAGAGTATACTGGTTGGGAGTGGTTAGGTTTAAATATTGGGAATGTGCTTCATTCAGATGGACGGATGGCATATACAGTCACAAATGGGAGATATCTGGCTGCTTAGCCACTATCAAAACAGTAACTAGCCCCCTTTCCTTTAGTTTGTTTTCCTTTCTTCCATCTCCCTATGCCACAGAAATGCCACCATATAAAGCCCATGGCAGCTGGCTTAGCCCCATCTTCCCTTGGGCAGCAAGGAGTAAAGGGGAGTTCACTCCTGAGTCTCCATACTTTCTTCTTCTTCCCCTTGAGGTGGCTCTTCTGTGTTTTCCTCTTCCTCTTCTCCCTCCTTCTTCTCAGGCGGCTTCTCATAAGCCTTTTCTGAAGGTGTTACAATGACTCCATCCCAGGTAGATATTTCAGAAGCAAGATCTAGAAGAGAAGGAAAAAACGTGTTTCATACAGTCAGTAAACAAAATAAGCTATACCCAGAAATATTAGGGCACCTTAAGATACAGCGTCTCTATAGATCAGAACCCCTGGACCACATCACAGGGAGAACTCACAGCTGGCATCCCCCTCCTGGCCAAGAATCTTCCTAAAGCCTCCATGGGAGAGAATTCGAACCAGAGTCTGAGCTGTGTAGCACACCATGTCCTGCTGTTCTAGGGTCATGACTGTGTGTACTCTGAAGTTGCCACTTTCACAGGGGTCAGTGATGCCCACTGACCCTGGCAGGAACAGTCCTGCAGCCAGAATCTGCAAGCAACGCCTAGAACACAAAGACATTTACTTAGAAAGCACACAAAACAGCTTATACCCCAAACCTAAAGAAGCATGCTATACCTGTATGCCACATTTAGGGCCAAAGGCTGTCTGGTAGGGTTATTCATCACAGCATAGTGCCCCTGGAAGAGAGTAAGTCTGCTAGGTGTGCTACCAACTGGCAGATCTAGGATCAAGCAAACTAAAACTTCAAGTCAGGAGGAAAACTAGCTGTAATGATGAGCTGACAGTAATGAGAGCACAGAGTACTTTCACCGAGCACTAAAAACGTCAGTGAAGAAGTAAACTTCCAGTCTTCCTAGATAAACTTTGGTGTTTGTTTTTTTTTTTTAGGACAGGGTCTCCCTAAGACTATCCTTGAACCCCAAATGCTCCTGTCTCAGTCTGTCGAAGACTGACTACAATTTCTTTTAGGCCTCATTGGATTTCTGATGTTGGTAGGTTTGGGAGTAAATCAAGCTGGGTGTGGTGGCGCATCCTTTTAATCCAAATACTCTAGAGACAGAGGCAGTCGGACCTGAGCTCAGTGCCAGCCTGGTCTACAGAGTAAGTTTCACCACAGCAGGGCTACACAGAGAAAACACTGTCTCAAAACTAACTAAATATAGACGAAGAGTGACTCCAACTGCACCACGACCTCTCACATACTAGACAAGCACTCTACACAGAGCTACATCCTCACCGCCCTTTTTTTTTAAACTTACAGAGCTACATCCTCACCGCCCTTTTTTTTTAAACTTACAAGTAGGTCAAGGATCCAGGGTGTAAGAGGCTCGAAGCCAGGAAAACGAATCCTCAAGTCCTTTAGCAATCTGATGAGAACTTTAACTCTGAATGTAAGAGACCCATAGGTTAGAGGTAATAACATCCTGGTAGTTCCACACTGAGCAGTCAATCTAAACAGTCTATACTATTTAGAGAACTACATGTACAGGGGCCACCAGCTGGATCAACAGAGAAAGGCATTTGTTCCTAGTCTGACAAAAGCTGAAATGAGAAAATTCCTTAAAGTTGTCCTGAGACTAGCTACCCAACTGTGACCTGTGTATGTGCACTCACACACAATAAAATATTAACATACCCTCCCCAACCTTGTTCATTTAGGTAAAAATCAAAACCCAGACATCACATCTGAAACAGTTCTGTCAGAGGAGGTGGGGTGGGGGGGCGCGTCTTGTTCATGGTGGCTGGATCACAGGCCAGAACCACTACACTCCTACAAATAACCAGTGAGACTCACGTGGACTGAGAAGCATTTTCTTCAAACCAGCGGGCATGCCGGATGGCTGCTAAGGCGCTCTGCAACACCTTGATGTCCACTGGAGACAAGCATAACAGGCTAAGAAACTTTCCTATTAAATGTGCAAGTCAATCCCAGTGCCTGTCCAGGAGTACAGCAAGCCACTTGTCCAAACACTATGGTTGCCCCCCAGCTAAATCTGAAAACAGGCAATATCTGCCAATAATCTTCTTCCCGTCTAAGTATTTACACACGCTTTTACTTTTTTTGTTTGTTTGGGGTTTTTTTGTTTTTTCAAGACAGGGTTTCTCTGTAGCTTTGGAGCCTCCTGGAACTTCCTTTGTAGACCAGGCTGGCCTCGAACTCACGGAGATCCGCCTGCCTCTGCCTCCCGAGTGCTGGGATTAAAGGCGTGCGCCACCACCGCCTGGCTACACTTTTACTTTTTTAAAAAATTTTCTTCCAAGTTTTTTTCTTCTGCAATCCTTTTTTTTTTTTTTTTTTTTTTGGTTTTTCGAGACAGGGTTTCTCTGTGGTTTTGGAGCCTGTCCTGGAACTAGCTCTTGTAGACCAGGCTGGTCTCGAACTCACAGAGATCCGCCTGCCTCTGCCTCCCAAGTGCTGGGATTAAAGGCGTGCGCCACCACCACCCGGCTTCTGCAATCCTTTTTAAGGCTTTGAAAATCTTACTAGGAAGCTGGTAAAACGGTTGACAAATCATGGAGAAAGTAACCCTTCACAGTTAACGCAATACTAAAACTTCCAGAAAGCGCCAAAGCCTTGGCTCCTGTCACAAATGGGGACAGAAGACTCACAATGGAGTTCCGGGTCCAGTTTCCGGAGATTGGGCGGGACTGTGGTAATGAGAATTTTCACTGTAGCATCAGAAGAGCTGATTTCAAAGCCAGTTTCATTAGTCAGCATGGTCAAAACTAAAAGAACAAAATAATCAAAATATGTAACACATATTTGTTCTGTTTTGCTTTTATTATTATATTTATTTAGATCATGTATGAGTGGGCCAAAGGACAACCTTTTAGGAATAAGTTCTCTCCTTCCACCATCTAGGCCCAGGGAACAAACTCAGGGCATCAGGCTGAGTGGCAAGCACCTTTACCCACTGTGCCATCTTTCTTGCTAACCCATTTTGTTTTTGAGACAAGATCTCATTTAGTTCAGGCTGCCTTCCAACTCATTGTATAGCCAAAGATGACTGACCTGCTGATCCTCCTTCCTCTGCCTCACTAGCTAAGCATATGTTAAGTGTGCCACCAAATCTGCCGGATATAATGCTGAGTACTGATCTCAGAACTTCACACGCTAGACATGGACCCTGACAGCTAAGCTCTACCTACCCAGCCTTCATTTTGTTTTGGGAATAAGGTTTTACTATGTATATAGCTCAGGCTGGTCTTAAATTATCAAACCCCCTGCCCTAGCTTCTCAAATGTTGGGGTTATAAGCATGCCATACCTGGTTAACAGGTGGGTTTTCTGGCAGTGAGCTATTTAATTTTTGAGACAAGCTGTATATGTAGCAAAGGCTGGTCTCAAACATTAATAAGAGCTTGGATACCAGTAAGTGGAAGGTGGCAGCAAGAAGATCATCAGGAGTGCTAGACCAACCTGACATGACACCCCATCTCAAAAGTAGGGGAGCAGAGGATAGTGCAAGCTGAAGAGACGAGGTCTGGAGATGAAGCTCAGTGGCCAACTGATCACCTAGCATGTATGAGAGGCACTGTGTTCAACCTCAACACCTCACATACAAATTCAAACTTAGGGTTATTTCTAAATTACGAAGCTTTAAAACAAATGAGAATTCAGTGGTACATACCCATCTATGATCCTAGCACTTGGGAGGCTGAGGGAGGAGGAACAGAGTAAATCTCTCTCTCATAACCCACCCTTCATAATAAAAGAAAATAAACTGTGACTGCCTGAGACTCCTGCTAGACGCTGCTCCACACAGCCCTGACTATGTAAGCGCAGCTGCTGTTGCCACTACTTAGATATTCAGAGCAGACGCAGACCTTCTGAGGGGTCCTGGGCTCTCAGGCTTTCCACAACCTTGTTCCCCAGGGCAGCAACAGCTTCCACTAGATGGGAAAAAAGGACAAAATTAATGCTACAGTACACATTTTATGTAGACTACTTCTATCAGTAAACAATGTGGCAATTCCATTTCTACAATAAGTTGAAGCTTATTCAACTAAAATGAACTCTTGCCGGGGGAATGAAAGTCTGGACGGAGAATCTGGAAGTCTCAAGCAATAGGCATCCCCAGGCACCATATACATCTTTTTACTTTTTCTTTCTTTTTTTTTTTTTTTGCGGCAGAGTTTTCTCTGGTCTTGGTTGTCCTGGAACTCACTCTGTAGACTCTGCTTCCCAAGTGCTGGGATTAAAGGCTTACATGCCTTCTTTGCACAGCAGTGTCTCCAGGTCACTAGCACTCTGGACGTGGGCTGGGTTATTCTCTTCAGTGAGGACGGGGTCTGTCTTAGCACACCTGGCCCCTTTCCCTACTCATGCCAGTAGCACCTCTGATTGAAATACTCAAACATGTGTCTAGACACAACCAATGTCTCACAGGGAGCAAAACTGATTTCAGTTAATGGATGTGGACTTTAGTGCTGGCCATAACTTCTAGACACGCACTACAGTTAGTCCCATATCACTCCAATTGCATTAAAAAATAAAATAAAAGGGCTGGAGAGATGGCTCAGAGGTCAAGAGCATTGCCTGCTCTTTCAAAGGTCCTGAGTTCAATTCCCAGCAACCACATGGTGGCTCACAACCATCTGTAATGGGGTCTGGTGCCCTCTTCTGGCCTGCAGGCATAGACACAGACAGAATATTGTATACATAATAAATAAATAAATATTTAAAAAATAAATAAATAAAATAAAAAAACCAAAGAGCCCAGTGTGATGGTAAACACCTTTAATCCCAGCACTCAGGAAGCAGAGGCAAGCAAATCTGAGTTGTAGACCAGCCTACTCTACATAGTGAATTCCAGGATAGCCAAAGCTACATAGTGAGACCCTGTCTCAAACAAAGAAAAATAAATAATAAATTTACTATTTCCCTTCCACTCACAAATGGATGGATGGATAGACAGATGGTCTGGACTTTAAATTATTACCAGCCCTACAACTAACCTGATGTTTAGGAAAGTGGGCTAGAGGGCTGGCTCAGGGGTTAAGAGTACTTGTTCCTCTTGCAGAGGACCTGGGTTTAGTTTCCAACACCTATTTGGTCGTTCACTACCATCTATAACTCCATTTCCAAGGGATCCAAAGCCCTCTTCTGACCTCTGTGAGCACCATGCATGTGCATGGTATTCATGCATTCATACAAGCATAACACTAATAGAAATAAAATATAAAAAATATAAAAAAAAAAAAAATTTTTTTTTTTTTTTTGGGGGCTGGAGAGATGGCTCAGAGGTTAAGAGCATTGACTGCTCTTCCAAAGGTCCTGAGTTCAATTCCCAGCAACCACATGGTGGCTCACAACCATCTGTAATGGGGTCTGGTGGCCTCTTCTGGCCTGCAGGCATATACACAGACAGAATATTGTATACATAATAAATAAATAAATATTTAAAAAAAAAATTTTTTTTTGTTGTTTTTGTTTTTCAAGACAGGGTTTCTCTGTAGCTTTGGAGCCTGACCTGGAACTAGCTCCTGTAGACCAGGCTGGCCTCGAACTCACAGAGATCCACCTATCTCTGTCTCCCAAGTGCTGGGATTAAAGGCGTGTGCCAACACCGCCTGGCTAAAAATCTTTAAAAAAAGGTTGGGCTGAGACTCCTGCTAGATGCTGCCCCACACAGCCCTGACTCTTTATGTAAGTGCAGCTGCTGTTGCCACTACACAGATATTCAGAGCAGACGCAGACCTTCTGAGGGGTCCTGGGCTCTAAGACATCCCATGACAAGCTAACATGCCCAACGCCATGTCCCATCCCCAACAGAGAAAAACACTTACATGTTGGCAGGATCTTCAGTATGACCACCAAGTCAGCCACATTGTGTCCTGTAGTCATTGTCCCCTTTTTATAGGATCCGACCTGTCGGACTTCCTCAATTTGCTATTGAAAAAGGGATTTCCGGGAAATGGAGAAAAATGAAGGTGGCGAGTCCCCACAGGCCTATTTCAGCAGCCTTACTACCAGATCTGGAAGCCCCCGTGACCAAATCACACCCCAGACAACCACACAGGAATAGACCAGGGACACAATCTTGTCCTTAGATCACAAAGTTCCAGAATGCCCCAGTACTTTTCCACTTTGGGCTTTGATCTGGAAAGCAGACAACTGAAAGATTAACAGGCAATGGCCAAGGAAATTTCCATCCCACCAAGGCTGCCCTTTCTTAGGGCTAATCCATTAAAACTCACCACTTCAAATGTCCCTGGAGCCACAATCAAGTTGTCAATCACATTGTTTATTTTTGTCACCAAAGAAAGGATAGAAGCCTGAAAATGTCACAAAGCAAAAATACCCTAAGGCCAAAAATTACACAAAATAACATATCTAATCTGTTTGCATCATCACCAGACTCTCCACCTACAGTAAGAAGGGGGGTGAATTTGGGCTCCAATAACCCAGACCCTCAAGTGTGCTCGGTAAGTGGTCTATCAGTGGCCTACAATCCTAGGCAAGACAATACTCTTATTAATCAGATGGATTATTAACTCTTCAATTTATTTTTTAACTTTATTTCATAGACACATTGGTGTTGTGCCTGCATGCATGTCTGTGTGAGGGTGTCAGATCCCCTGGAACTGGAGCTACAGGCAGCTGTGAGCTATCATGTGGGCGCTCTGGAAGAACAGCCAGTGCTCTTAACCTCTGAGCCATCTCTCCAGCCCAACTCTTAACTCTTTAGGCCCTTAGCACAGACTCAGAAAAGAACATACCTGCTCCGCAGAATTGGGGGCAAGGTCCTGATTCCTCTTCAGCAAAGCTTCGCTGAAGGATGTTTCATCGGGTGCAGGCTTGACGCGAGGAAAAGCCATTTCACACTAAACCAGAAATTAAACTGTTATTTACCAAAAGTAACATACAGAAGAATATACTGTTGAGTAACAGAAATAAAATTGTTATGCACTTGTAATCCCAGCACTTCCAAGATAGAAGCAGGAGAGAATCTATATTCAGCACCAGCCTAGGCTACAATGAGACCCGGTCTCAAAAATATATGAACAAGATCCAGGGAGATGGCTTGACAATAAAGGCCCTGAATTATCAACTTCTGGGACCCACACAGAACCAAATCCTGAAAGTCGTCCTCTCAGCTTCATACATTTGCTATGGTATACGTATGATAATAAATGTAATAAAAATACTACTATTATTTATTACTTGTTTTTTTTAAAATATTTATTTATTATGTATACAATATTCAATCTGTGTGTGTTTGCAGACCAGAAGAGGACAGCAGACCTCGTTACAGATGGTTGTGAGCCACCATGTGGTTGCCGGGAATTGAACTCATGACCTTTGGAAGAGCAGGCAATGCTCTTAACCACTGAGCCATCTCTCCAGCCCCTATTACTTGTTTTTTTAAGATGGGGCTTTCCTATGTAGTCCTTGCTGCCCTAGAACTCACTCTGTAGACTAGGCTGGTCTTGAACTCAGAAATCCGACTGCCTTCTGCCTCCCAACTGCTGGAATTAAGTGTGCATCACCACTCCTTAGTTATAAAAACATTTAAAAAATTAAAAATAGGAGGGCTAGAGAGATGATGACTCAGGGGTTAAGAGCACTGGGTCTTCCAGAGGTCCCAGGTTCAATTCCCAGCAACCACATGGCAGCTAACAACTGTCTATAACTCCAGTTCCAGAGGATCTGACACCCTCATAGACATATGCAGGCAAAACACTAATGCACGTAAAATAAAAAGAAATCATTTTAATAATAATAGAGGCTAGAAGTCAAGTGTGGTGGTGCACGCCTTTAGTCCCAGCACTCAAGAGGCAGACGATCTGAATTCAATGTCACTCTACAGAGAGTTCCAGGATGCTACACACACAGAGAAACCCTGTCTCAAAACAAGAAAAGGGGGGAAGGGGACTGGAGAGATGGCTCAGCAGTTATTCGTACAGAGAGCCCAGGTTCAATTCACAATACCCACACAGGGCTCACAACCACCTGCAAACTTCAGTTCCAAGGAATCTCACTCCTTCTTCAGCCTCCACTAGTACCAGTACTAGGCATGTGTATGGTGCACATACATATAGACACACACACACAAATCTTTATAGTAAGCCCACCTCTTACCCCCACACAGGAAAGTCTGTATTTGATCCTGTTTTTCCATCTACTCTGTTATTTCAAAGCCGTTACACCCAACTTGGAACCCTTGCTTTTAACTCCTTCAAGTTCAAGTCCAAATATAAATAGGAAGAACCTAATTCAAGTTCTCAATACCTTGTTGCTCTGTTAATTCTTTGTGATAGAGGGCCTACTGTATCATAGGCTGGCCTGAACTTGCTGGGTAGCTGATGCTGACATAGCCTCCTGTGTGCTTGGATTACAGGTGTGATACATAAAATGCCCTGGGCTCTGTGCATACTAGACAAGCACTCTACCAGCTGAGTTACACCACCGGCCACACTATTTTTATAACCCTGAGGCTGGAGAGATGGCTCAGCAACTAAGAACACTAGGTGTTCTTGCAGAAGGCCCAGGTTGGTTCCTAGTGCACACACGGCAACTCACAACCTCTGAAAACCTCTTCTAGCCTCTAAGTGGACCAGGCATGCATGAGGGTAAACATACACATACATGAAATAAAAATAATTCACTGTGAAGTCAGGGTATGGTGGCGGTGGCACATACCTATAATCCTAACACTGTGTTGGATGGGGGAGGCAGGTAGATCTCTGAGTTCCAGGGCAGTCAAGGATACACAGAGAGACCCAGTGGGGGTGGGGGATCCAGTGTGGTAGCACACTTTTAGCACTCAGGAGGCAGAGCAGGCAGAGTTCTGTAAATTCTAGGCCAGCCAAATTATATATAAAGGTCTTGTCTCAAAAATAAATAAACCATAAAAATTATTCATTTATATTATAATCAAACAGTAAAGGAATTCTCTTCCCTGCTCTGTTTATACTGTTTTCTTGTTCACTATTAGTAGCCCAGGCTGGCTTTGGGCCTCAGGCTTCCAGTCCTGGGATTACAAAGGGATCACAGTCACTTTGAAGACTGGCTAGCCAATTGGTTTGTTTTTCATTCATAAATCTACTCCGAACAATATCCAACTTCATTAACAAGGAGATTCAAGGCTCCATTTCTTCATCTGAGCAATGGCCAGGAAAGTCCTCGAAAGCCAAATACTCACCAAATAGAAATCAAAAGGGATATGGGGCACAAAAGGCCTGAACCTAAAACACAAAAACAATCCAGAATTACTCCAACAGAAAGCAAGTGCACCAGCTTTGTCTTTTACGGATTTGGGAGTTTCTGAGCTGCATTAAATTCACTTAGCAGGACATCAAGAAAGAAATGCTTGGGGCTGGAGAGATGGCTCAGAGGTTAAGAGCACTGGCTGCTCTTCCAGAGGTCCTGAGTTCAATTCCCAGCAACCACATGGTGGCTCACAACCATCTGTACTGAGATCTGGCGCCCTCCTCTGGCATGCGGGCATACATCGAGGCAGAATGTTGTATACATATAAATAAATCTTAAAAAAAAAAAAAGAAAGAAAGAAATGCTTCACGGGACTTCCACAAAATCAAGTAGAGCAGGGCGGTGGTGGGCCTGTCTCTAATCCTAGCACTCAGGGAGACGGAGGCAGGCGGCTTTCTGTGAGTTTGAGGCCAGCCTGGTCTACAGAGTGAGTTGTGGACAGCCAGAGCTACACCGAGAAAACCTGTCTCGAAAAAAATCAAAACAAAACAAAAAAACGAAAGCAAAAAACCCAAATCAGGTATAACAGCCCACTCCAAACCCCCATCTAAATGACTGCTTCAAACCAGGCCAAAGACGCAAAGAGCCACACTTACCCTCCTCCAGGCCCTCCTCTGGAACCAAAGCGCCCTCCACGACCACGTCCTCTGTCACCCCTAAAAATACGTACATTTTCCATGACCTCGCTGGAAACGTCTCCATCATACCAGCCATGCTGTTTCCATCTAATTTACCTTACCGTGGCCAACTACAGAAGTCACTTTCCCCCATTCCAACGATGCCCAGCCCCACCCCCATGACGTCCTAATTCTGAGTTTGTTTTTGAGAGGGGTCTCAAGTATTCCAGGCTACCCTAGAACTCCGGACCGTGCTGCCTTACCTCCCCAGTGCTGTGACTGCGGCGTGCGACACCACACCCGACTTCTAATTCTGGATTTTATCAAAGCTCACATCAGGAAAATACAAGGTTCAGACCCTGACACACAAGACCCTACTAAGCAGCCCGACCGGGAGGCAAACCAATCCTAACAGAGTAAAGTGACTTCTCTTTATCAGCAGAACCTAACAGCTGCCAGGCACTGGTCAAACACTAGGCACCAGGAAAACGCGCAGCGCCCCGGCCCTCTCGCTGCATCCCGAGGATGCCCGCTCTGGTCCTCTAGTCCCGAGGGCTAGGTGCTAACCCAGCGCCCTGCCGGGCCCCAGCCCCTCCAGGCTCGGCTCCCCGCCTCCACCAGCCTCCTCCAACTCCATTCTCGGCGGCCAGGCTTCCCGTCAGCCGCCCAGACACAGGCCCTTGGCCCTCCGCCTCCGCTGCAGCCCGCCCTCCCGAGGTTTCGGGAGGAACTTTCAAGCACTCTGTCCACTTACCTCATGGCCCGCTTAATCCTGAACAATGGAGGCCACTCAACCGCCCTTTCCCTGAAAGAATAAGGTCCGCAGAGAAGCGTCGGCCGGTGCGTCCCAACAAACGCAGGCGCGATAGGCTCCCGCCTCGCTCCCTCCCTCCTGATTATTGGTTAATGCAGCAACCAATGAAAAATGCCCTATAAGGAGCCAACCAATAAGAAGACATAACGGGGATGAATGAGATTTTCCCCACTGACGAAAGGGGGCGTGCGGAATTCGGGCTGTGCACTGCGAAACCTCTTCTACGGTAATAACGAGAGCTGGTATAGTAGGTAGCAGAGTGGCGCAGCGGAAGCGTGCTGGGCCCATAACCCAGAGGTCGATGGATCGAAACCATCCTCTGCTATCGGAGGCTTTGTTTTGTGTCATGGACTCCTGCCTTCGTTTTCGTGATAAACTTGCTTTTCTACAATAGGAAACATAATTGCATTTTCTTCTCCAACTGTTTTTGGTTTTGCCTTTTCCAGATAGGTTCTTGCTTGGCCACCCCGGCTTACACAGTACTCGTTAATATAGCCCAAGCTGTCCTCACTCTCCGCAATATTTACGCCTCAGTCTCGCAAGTGCCGGCATTTCGGTCGTGTGCCACCTCACCTGGAAACATAACTTTTACCCTATGAAAACACCAGGAAGAATTTAGTTTCATTTACCACAATTTCCTTCGATATTATTGTTATATAATTCCTTTTATTGAAATTTTTTTCATACATTTTAATCATGTATTTCCTCTCCATCAGTTCCATCCAGATCCTCCCAGCTTCCCTATGTTACGTGATTTCTGACAGGTACCCGTGTATTGTTTACTTTTGTGGGCATGTATTCCTTCCAAGTAGCCTAACCCCACCTTGAATAAAATAAAGAATATTTTATCAGTTCCGCAAGGCGGCTCAACAGGTAGAACCTGAGTCCGACTTCTGAGACCCACGTGTTAGGAGAGCGGCGACTTCTGCATTTTGTCCTCCAACCTCGCTACATGTGCTGTGGGTTTGATGACACCCATAAAGATAACCTAAATAAATTTACAGAATTTTTTTTCCAAAAGGATTATTTTGGCCGAGCACAGTGAAACACACCTTTATCTCCAGCACCTGGATGGCTGCTGCCGAAGGATGTGCGAGTTCAAGGTCAGCCTAATAACGGGTCCACACCAGATAGTAAGATACTGTCTCTAGGAAGGTGAACATCCAAACATGGACGGAGAGGGGCGGACCTAGGACTTACCACAGGGCAGGGAACCCTGACTGCTCTTTGGACTGGAGAGGGAGGGGGAGAGGAGTGGGGGGAGGGGGAGAAGGGTGGGAGGAGGGGGAGAAGGGGGAGGGAAATGGGAGGCCGGGAGGAGGTGGAAACTTGTTTTGTTTTTTTTTTTCTTTTCTCCTTTTCTCAATAAAAAAATGAAAAAAAAAAAAAGATACTGTCTCAAAAAATAATAGTTTATGACCCCAGAAAGGTAACCATTCTGGATTTCTACTATCGTGGATTAGGCTTGCCTTTAGATTTTTTTTTTTTTTAATTAGGGCTGAAGAGCTGGCTCAGAGCTGGCTCAGCAGTTAAAAGCATGTACTGCTCTTACATGTTCTACAGAGTGAGTTCCAGAACAGCCAGGGCTACACAGAGAACCCATACCTTGAAAATAATGATGGTGATGATGATAATGATGATGGTGTTTATTTAGGGGCTAAGGAGATAGCTCAGCAATCAAAAGCACTTGTTACTCTTGCAGAGGAGGAAAGGGGGTGCCAATTTATTAATTTACTTTTTTAATTAATTTATTTTTTTAAGTGCATTGGTATTTTGCCTGCATGTATGAGCCATCTCTCCTGCTCAGATTTTTGGAAGGTGTCGTTTGTTTGTGGGGTGATTGTTTTTACTTTTTTTTTTTTAATATTTATTATGTATACAATATTCTGTCTGTGTGTATGCCTGAAGGCCAGAAGAGGGCACCAGACCTCATTAAAGATGGTTGTGAGCCACCATGTGGATGCTGGGAATTGAACTCAGGACCTTTGGAAGAGCAGGCGGTGCTCTTAACCACTGAGCCATCTCTCCAGCCCCTGAAGATTGATTTATTTATTTATTATGTATACAGTATTCTGTCTGCATGTGTGTCTGCAGGCCAGAAGAGGGCGCCAGATCTCATTACAGATGGTTGTGAGCCACCATGTGGTTGCTGGGAATTGAACTCAGGACCTTTGGAAGAGCAGGAAGCACTCTTAACCTCTGAGCCATCTCTCCAGCCCCTGTTTTTACTTTTTTCAAGATAGAGTTTTTCTATGTAGCCTTGGATGTCCTGGAAGTCACTCTGTAGATCAGACTGGCCTTGAACTCACAGAGATCCACCCGCCTCTGCCTCGTAAATGCTGTGGCATTACAGGCATTAGCCAAACCGCCCCAACCAACCGGCCTTGCTTTTGTTTTCTGACACAGTGTCTCCTAAGTAGCTCTAGTTGGCCAGGAACTCAGAGATCCACCTCCTCTGCCTCCTAAGTGCTGGGAGTTAAGCATGTACTACCATTCCTAGCATTCTTTGTTCTTCTTGTTTCAACAGATATCTATAAAATAAAACAATAATGCTCAGTGCAGTGCTTACCTAATTTTTAGCTTATGTGGGAAAGTGACCAGACCTGGTGTCTCTTCCTGCTCACTTTGCCTCCTAACCTGGGCACCTTGCAGGGGATGCATCTCTGTCCACACTGGCCAGATGCCAAGTGACTTCAACATCTCCTTTAGTGAGACAGGCGCTGACAAGCGTGCTAGCAGCAGCCACTGAAGTTTGTAGTGGTGCGTCTCCAGCTTTCCCGTCCTGAGCAGTTTGTCACAGGCAAGTGAGACACTGCCAGCAACTATGCCCATAACTCCCTGTGGACCATGGGACTGATGACCTTGTCTTGGATTTAATTTACAAGCTAGCTGGCAGGTGCCCAAGCCTTATTTTTCCATACCTTTGTAGGAAACTGGCTCTAGGTCCTATTGCTGCTGCTGAAGTGTCACCTGCCCAGCCAGAGTCCTCACTTAGCCCGCCCCGGGTTTCCACAGCCTTCTTTAATCCGACAACCCCACCTTCACTACACTACCCTGCAGAACCCTCAATGTGTCTTCATGATAGACAGTGAGGTCATCTATAACATCTGTCATGAAAACCTCAATGTTGCCAGGTGGTGGTGGCACACGCCTTCAATTCCAGAGGAGGCAGAGGCAGGCGGATTTCTGTGAGTTCAAGACCAGCCTAGTCTATAGAGCGAGTTCCAGGACAGCCAGGACTACACACAAACCATGTCCCAGAAAGAAAGAAAGAAAGAAAGAAAGAAAGAAAGGAAGAAACCTCAATATTGAGTACCCAACCTACATTAACCTTACAACCTTTTTATTTTTTTATTTTATTTTATTTATTTATTTATTTATTTTTCGAGACAGGGTTTCTTTGTGGCTTTGGAGCCTGTCCTGGAACTAGCTCTGTAGATCAGGCTGGTCTCGAACTCACAGAGATCCGCCTGCCTCTGCCTCCCGAGTGCTGGGATTAAAGGCATGCGCCACCATTGCCCGGCCCTTACAACCTTTTTAACCAGAAGGTATCTTCCCTCTGCTTTGAGGGCTTTCCACCCCACCTCTGCAGCTACACACGCCCCGCCCCCAACCCCCTATTCCCCCCCCATCCCAGGTCTTCTCTGCCCTCCCACTTCAGCTGCACACACCCCCATCTTCTCTGCCCAAAAAGCTTCTGAGGAGCAGGTTTCTTTGGTCACCAGTGCTTACCCTGAGCTAGCCAACAAGGTGGTAGAAAATGTGACCTCACTACAGTAAACACATGGCTTTGGTGCCCGCTGTATCATGGTGATGAGGCTCCTAAGGAGGGCAATGCTGCTGTTGCCACCATTAAAGCCATGTACAGCATGGAGTTTGTGTTCCCATATCTGATGGCCTCAAGGCTGGCATACGCCTCTCCCAGTGTTACCTGATGGAGACCTGGAACAGCTACAGGGAGCTGTGTGCATGCTGAGGCCTGGGGACGCCGAGACTATAAGCTTGACCTGCTATGTGCCTTTACCCACTGGCATATGGATGAGGGGAGAGAGGAAGGAGGGTCTCACTGCGGCCCTACAGAAACAATACAGGGAGGTGGGTGTGCTGCTGCTGAGGGGGAAGGGAGGAAGAAGGAAGGGAATACTAATTATCCATTCCTTGTACTGCAGCTGCAGACCTCCTTCCTGGAACTTTACTTCAACTCTAGCTGACAGCTATTAAAAGCTTCCTCATTAGATTATCTTCGTTTATCTTAAAAAAAAAAAAAAAAAAAAAAAAAAAAACCATCCATGGGTCTGGAGAGATGGCTCAGTGGTTAAACACCACAGGTTGCTCTTCCAAAGGTCCTGAGTTCTATCCCCAGCAACCACATGGTGGCTCACAACCATCTGTAGTGGGATCAGATGCCCTCTTCTGGCATAAAGTTGCACATGCAGACAAAGCATGCCTTTAATCCCAGCAATCAGGAGGCAGAGGCCAGCTGATCTCTGTGAGTTCAAGGTCAGCCTGGTCTACAGAGTGAGTTCCAGGACAGCCAAGGCTACAGGGAATAACCCTCCTTGAAAAACAACAAAAAAGTCATCCAGGGGGCTGGAGAGATGGCTTAGTGGTTGAGAGCACTGACTGCTCTTCCAGAGGTCCTGAGTTCAATTCCCAGCAACCACATGGTGGCTCACAACCATCCATGATGGGATCTGGTGCCCTCTTCTGGCCTGCAGGCATACATGTAGACAGAACACTGTATACTAAATAAATAAATAAATTTTAGAAAAAAAAAGTCATCCAACATTTTTAGTGTTTGCAGCTCCAGATTTAGTTCAATAACCTAATGCTGTTTCTAGT